ATCACTCTAGGCATTCTCAAAAAGAAAATAACATGAAAACTGTTTCATTTAGAAATACTTCGTATGAAAATTTATGTAGTCTATCCTTGAAAATGTCACAAAAAGATTTCTCACTTGTTTTTGAAGCTCCATTGGATATTGATGAGATTTATAATACATTGTTGAACATAGTTTCTTACCATGTAAATCAGACTTGTCCAATGGTAAATAAAAATTACTTTGAAAACATGGGTAAATAATGAGATTGTTAAAATTGGAAATAATTTAAAAAATATGTATTGGCTCACAAAAAATGTTTCTGATAGTCATATATTGGAACGATACAAAATGGAAAAAAGAGGTATGCACAAAAAATTAATAAATGCAGAAAGCAATTTTTTTCAAGAAAATTTAGCAAACAAAAATATGCAACAAAAATAAAAAATTGGTTGAAAAACTGTTAATTCCAAACTGAATAAACAAAAAATTGCTAATTTTAGTGAAATACATGATGCTAATGGTATAAGATTAACAGAAAATTTAGATATTGCCAACATGTTTGTAGGATACTTTTCTTCAATTGCTAATTATGCTATCATTGCTATCATTTTCCCAACACTACTTTTATTAATTACACCACTATGTTTGTTACAAACACATTTAGGTTTATAGAACTGAAGTGATAGAAACAATTGCATCTCTAAATAATACCAATGCGGAAGGAATTGATTGCATTTCCACAAAAAGTATAAAGACAATTGCCCCATACATTGCAAATTCATTAATTTATGTAATCAATAATTCCTTGTTACTCAGAATCTTGCCAAATGCTCTTAAAAATGGGCTTGTAACACCAATCTTTAAAAAAGGGTCTCTTTTTTTTGTGTCATCGGCATCAACTGCTACGGTTATTGGCCTAGTGTTCTGTGTAGGCTTTGTTACTGTTTCCGAGCGCAACTTTAGGAACAGCACTGTTAATTAGTATCCAACAGGGAATGGTCGAGTGGGGAGGGTGTCTCTTGTCAGTGGATAACTACAGACCTATTACAATCCCCACTATAATATTTAAAGTTTTTGAGAAATGTGTATCTTTTTTTAAAAAAAATTTAATATCTTAACTGAACATCAACATGGTTTTCTTCCAGACAGGTCAACGGAGAGTGCCACTACTGCTTTCTTCAAGTATATATATATTGACAGCTAGATAGGGGGCAGTATGTGGGTGCACTCTTCTCTGATTTGTACAAAGCTTTGGACAAAATTGACATATCCATTGTTCAAAATAAATTATAGGCATTAGGTTTCAGGGCCATAATTTTAAAATGGCTAAGTTCTTATTTAGATTCACGTCAGATATGTGTAAAAGTGGGTAAATCAGAATTGAAAAGTCTAACCCAAGGAGTACCACAAGGCTCAGTTCTAGGGCCACTAATATTTTTGTTATATTTAAATGATCTTTCTCAACATGTGTGATCTTGTACGACACTGTACGAATTCGGAATAACAAGATCTTTTAAAATCTGCAAAAATATACAGGGTGTCCCCTTTAAATTAAAAAAGTTGAGGGTATTTCTGGTGAAACCGGAAGTACAAAAAATATGGCATCAGATGCGTCATGCGTCATTGTACTTGCCTGAAAAGTTTCATAAATATCGTCTTTTTCATTTTAAAGATATTTACTTGGTTCCATACTTTATCCCAACCCTGTATGTATATGTATGTATTTAAGTATGTATGTATGTATGTATATGAATTTTAAATGTAGATTTTAAATTATGTTTTGTCCACTACATGTATCTCGACATAACCTAAATCATTGTATAGTGATTCAAAACCGGCCATTAACTTATAATCTTTTAATTTATATTTAAAGGTATTAAATCAGGCGACATTTCTGAGTTCTAGGGTAACTCATTAAAAGCTTGAAATCCCTTAAAAAATACTAAATTTTAACACTTGCAACTTGCGGAATTTGAAAATTAGATCTATTTCTTGTGTTATAATTATGATAGTCAAAGTTGTAATTGATTGTAACATCCATTATTATGGATGTTACAAAATTAACCATGGACTGATTACCTCTTATTTACTGGATAAAATCAATTACAACTTTGACTATCATAATTATAACACAAGAAATAGATCTAATTTTCAAATTCCGCAAGTTGCAAGTGTTAAAATTTAGTATTTTTTAAGGGATTTCAAGCTTTTAATGAGTTACCCTAGAACTCAGAAATGTCGCCTGATTTAATACCTTTAAATATAAATTAAAAGATTATAAGTTAATGGCCGGTTTTGAATCACTATACAATGATTTAGGTTATGTCGAGATTGGTCCTTTCATTACATGACAAAAATATCCTCATTAATCTATTTTGTAATTTTTGAAGTTTGTTGGTTTCATTCTGATTAAGTAAATTCATAATGATAGCACAATAAGTGAAATGAGGCAAAATTATACTGTTATATAAAAGAATCAATGACTTTATTAATATATTTTGAGCATCGGTACAAGTAGTTGATTTTAAATGCTACTGTTTTAATTAAAAAACAACATATGGTTTACCACTACTCCCAGATATTTAATTTTTTTATGACTTCAATGACATTTTCAATACTAATCTTCATATTATTTTCAGTAAATTCATTGTAATACCTAACATTCCTGATCAAAAACTTGTTTTATTAATATTTACTTTTAATGAATGAAAACGGCAGAATAATACAGCATTGTATCATCTGCAAACAGATGCATCATGAGAAATGTCATCAATAAATAGAAGTGACAATAATGAGTCCAATATGCTTCCCTGGGGTAGACCTAATTCATTTTTTGTTCTTTTGATAAAATATTTTTAAATCTTAATTTTTGTTTTCTATTGTCCAGGTATAACTTATAAGCCATTGTAGTGCATTTTCAATAATACCAAAACTTTTTAATGAGAAAAGATGGATTTACTGTCTCAAAGGCTCTTTGTAGGTCTAAAAAAAGAGCATCTGTAATTAATTTGTCAGGATTCTGTTTCCAGTCATTCAAAACATATTTTTGTGCAGTCTTGCACCTGTGTTTACCCCAAAAGCCTGATTGATTACTATTAAACATATTATTGTTTTTCAGATATTGAATTAGTTGATAATATACTACTTTCTCTAAACATTTTTCTACTGTACATAACATATTAATAGGATGTAAGTTCACTGCCATATTTGAATTCTCAACCTTATTAGCTATTGGTGTTATTATTGAAATTTTTAGGTCGTCTAGAACTGGTATTAGTTTCTAATGAGTAATTTATTAATGGATTAGCAATTTTTCCGAAACAGTACATTAATTTCATATGGACTTCCTTTATTTTGCAAATCAAAAACAATTTCTATTAAACTATCAAAACTAACATGATTAAACTTTTTAAGACTTACGTTATCATGTTATATTAGATACTAAGTCATTTATATCATCAATTTAATATGTGTTAAGTGCATCTGGCATTTCAATTATGTCATTTATAATTAAATTTTCATTTATTTCAATTTCTATAACGTCATTTTGTTTATAATTTTTAGGTAACAGTTCCTTCATTATGTTCCATAATTTCAGAGTCATAATATTTTCTCTTTTCATTTCTAATAATTTTAACAACCATATTACGTTTTTGTTTATATAATTATTTACTTTGTTCTGTTTTGTTTGATACATAATATGTATAGGCTTTATCCCTATCTTTAGTTGCAGTGTGCACTGTGTCATTCCACCAAACTCTAAATTTTGGAAAAATCTTAATAGTTCTCTTTGGTGTCACTTCATTTAAAACCCTCATTACTTTTTCATAAAAATCCTTATATTTGTCATTAATCCTTAATCTATAATCCCATTTATACATCATCAATGTATAACAAAAACAATAGTGGCCCCAATACACTTCCATGTGGTACACCAAAATAATTTTTTGCCAAGTCAGAGAGAATGTTGTTTAATTTTAATTTTTGTTAACTATTTTCCAAGTAATTAATAATAAAGATAAAAAAGGCAAAAAGCTTTAGAGTTTTAACAAAATCTTTTGAGAAATTTTAGATATGGCATTTCAGTGTGGTTAAGGTTTAGAATAAATATAGCAAATATTGGAATTATGATAAAAAAACAGACAGTGCAGGTGTCTATGAGTAAATATAAAGATAGAAACCAAAAACAATGTTTTCAATGAAAAAAGAAACAGGTAGAGTTACCTAGAGAAACTTTCTTCATCGAATTTGTAAATAAATTTAATATAATCAAGGAATTGTGAAAAATGAGCAGAAAAAATATAGCCAGTAGTTTTAGAAAATACAGGAGTCTTACAAATACAATTTATGTACCTAGTAGAAGTTTATTTTTAGTGGTTTTGTATTAAATTAACAAATTTGGTTAAAAGTAATAACAGTGAAAAAATAGGATTAAAAAATGACAACCTATAGGTAGGTACCTATCAAATATTTGTATATTTTACATGGCATAAAGGTACAACAAATTTAATATTCAATACCTGAATACTATTTTAATACTGACAGTTTTTGTTTTTAAATTACACTCCCCTAACTGTAATTTTTAGTGAATTTTTTATTTAGGTACTGTGAAAATAAAACAGAACTCAAGTCAAAATTTTAAGAAATATCAATAATGCGAGACCACGTTTATTGTAGAATAAAGTATATGGGTCTTAAAAAAAGACCATTAAAGATAATAAACTACATATACAGCGTCGCGGCGCACTTTTTATATTTTCCTGACGCCTCTATTGTTATGAGTAAACAAGGGCAACATTACATTCGAACTACATCAAAACTATTACATTTTTTCAACTTTTAATAGGAGGTCATTCTACTTTTCAAATACCTTTATTTCAATTCAAAAATCTTTTGTTGCAATTGTAAGTCTAACGTAAAATATTGTTGTGAATTAAACAAACTAAAAACTCTTACCTCTTCAGTTATTTCAATACAAATACCACTAAAAAAAAACCCATATGTTTTGTTTTTGTACTTACGGCAAAAAGCAGGTTAAACGCGAACAACAAATATTTAACGCAAGACATCCCTCCAGACACCATATTCAGAAATGAAATGAAAACTGTAAATAAAAATCTTTAATCAATAAGTTGTCATAGGCACCAATGTTTGTATTTCCATACCTTTTTGCCTCTATAAAACTGGGTTAACTTGAGCGTAACGACACTTTCGTTCAATAATCGGATTTGCGAGTACAAGATATCAGTTTTGCAAAACGTTGCGCGACTTCGCATAAACTCTTCGTGGAGCTACAAATTTACTGACTGTTTTTAATAAATTTAAGATTTGCTTTGCGCAGTACTTCCCACTACCGATTTTAACTTGTCTCCCTACTTTTCTCACAAATGTTTTGGTCCACTTGAAACTTACAAATTTCAAAAATCAAACGTCAAAATTTATCTTCTTTTTCAAAATCAAAAAAGGTCTGTGTCCTACCACTATTAAACTACTTCGTTTAACTTCATGACGTATGTTATAAAAGACAATGTAATCTTTTTCCTTAGTTTGAACCGGTAGAAGTTATCATACAAGACCATTAATGAATAGTTTCTTCTTTTTATTTCCTATTGATTATTCAGTTAATAAATTATTTTACAAAAACCGACGTTATAAAAGGCCAATAGAAAATTTTCTCCCATTAATGAACCGGTAAGAGGTATAATACAAGACCATAAAATGACAATAACTAGGAAGATTAGAAGATTTTGATAGATCGCAATTTCTTTTTTCTTCATAATCTTTTTGTGGCTTTGTAGAATACATACAGGTTTGTTTCCAAAAATTTTTCTATCATCTTAGGTTTTAAATAAAGTTATATATACTTTTTAAGTTAGTTGATGTCTAGTTAATGATTTAGTATATTTATTTTTTATATTGAAGTTATTTTTGTATTATTTTCAGGCCAAAATGGGCAGACGTCCCGCAAGATGGTAAGTTAACTTTGCAAATAACTTTAATGCAAACATTTTTAACGTTTTTCTTTATTTTAGTTATCGTTACTGTAAAAACAAGCCGTATCCCAAATCCCGGTTCTGTAGAGGAGTACCAGACCCCAAAATTCGTATCTTCGATTTGGGTAAAAAGAAGGCCACCGTGGAAGATTTTCCTCTGTGTGTACATTTAGTTTCCGATGAATATGAACAGCTCAGTTCTGAAGCTTTGGAAGCTGGACGTATTTGCGCCAACAAATATTTGGTAAAGAACTGTGGTAAAGATCAATTCCATATTCGAATGAGACTCCATCCTTTCCATGTTATTAGAATCAATAAGATGTTGTCATGTGCTGGAGCTGATAGGTGAGTTAAATATTTTGGTTTACATTTTTTTTGGCAAAATTATGTCTAGAAAATTAATGTAGTTAATTCATTTGTAGAAAACGGTTAATGTAGGGGCCATATATTTCTAAATTAAATTGATAGGTATTTGCATTTAAAAAATTATAAAGATCAAGTGAATACATGTTAATAAATATTTTGTTATCTATTGATAAACTTAACAATTTAGTTTGGGTTAATCATTATGAGTCATCATGATTAAGCACAATATTTATATTATTTGAAATTTATTGTAAAAATTATTTTGTAATCATATTTTAGCATTTATAAGTGATTTTCTTTTATCAACACGCTCCCTATTATACCTTTGTAAACTTCATCTTACTTTCTATTAATTATTTACCAATCTCTTATAAATCCATTTTCTGAAAAGTCTGGGAATGTTAAGGGAATTTGGATTGACTATGGAAAAAGTATCCTGCCAAAATATTTCTAAATTTAATTGAGTATTTTTCAAATATAAACTGTATTACTATTAAGAAATATTTGAGAAATTTATTTGTCAAAGTAGTTTTTTTTTGTTTGAATTTCTGTAATGTCTAGTACATCCATTTTTAAGTAGATGTCAAAGGGAGTTTACCATGCGAAAACAATGTTGCCACTCTTGTTTTAGAGATGGTTTGAGTAGGTAAATGATTGTTTAGAAGTACCTGTTTTTGAATTAGTGATTGGCAAGACAGCTCTATGCTGTACTTCATTGCCTCACCCTTTTGATATATCTGTCTCATCATTCCAGTTACCTACATTATCATTTTATTTGCCCTATGTATGGTACAAGTGTTGTCAGATGTACAAAAATTTGCATTTTATATGATAATTTTGGTGTTCTATACAATAATTTCACAATTACTTCAATAATTTCACAATTACTTCAATAATTTCACAATTACTTCAATAATTTGATTCAGACTTCTCTGCAAGACATTTGGACTAATTTAGTTTTAAAGTGGGTCAAATGCAGGGAAGGGAAAAAACTTTATTGTATCCTGATGTAATTTGGGTAACTTAGCTTACTTCAACTGAATGTAATTTTACCTTTATTAGTGACCTTATTTTCGAGTTAAATGCTTTTTAGTTCATTTATTTAATTTGTTTTAGTTATTAATATTTCAAAAATACTAATTTTTCTCATTGATTGACCAAAAATGCACATGTAATTTTGATTATTAGTCAGACCCCCACCTTGACTATTGCTCTTCCCTTTGATCTCTACACTATATAACATATAGTAAGAAAATAGATAGTGTTCAACACAACTTTCTCAGACATATAGCTTTTAAATTGGGAGTTTATTGTAAATATGATTTCATGGAACAGTTTCTGAACATCCCCTTTAAGACTAAACAAAAACAGAGACCTTAATATTATAAATAGTAAATGTAATTGTCCTGAATATCTTGAAAAAATAAACTTCTTGTAATGGGCTTGCCAATAAATAAATAAAAATCTACAATTATTTGTTTTTCACCTTTGGGGGTGGTCTTAATAATTTGTAGGGGGATTTTTGAGATTTGTTTCCAAATTTTCTCAAATTATTCTAAAATAAAAGTTTTAATTAAAATTAAACCTAAAAATGTAATTTATTATTTTAATATGAAACCTGATGAAGAGAATGTTTAGAGAATTTTATAAATCAGTAAATTTTCAGAGAAATTAAATATTTGGCACGAAAATGTTTAATTGTCTATATGATTGTATAAAAAATGTCCCTGTGTTACCCTATTTAAAGTCATCATTTAAATTTGGGTGTCAAAAGGGACATACATAAAAGTCCTTTATTCCACAAGCATTTGTGACTTCAATCATAACATGCTTACTAAATAATGGATACATCTTCTATTTGTTTTATAATCCATACTTTTTTACTGTATTTTATTTTTAAATATTAAATTAGTTGAGAAAAATACTTAAATCTATTAAATTCAGTTACATTTGATGTAGATGTAAATTTGCATTTGTGACCATATAATTTGTTCTCCAAACATTGTAAAACATTTTTTTAGGCTCCAGACTGGAATGAGAGGTGCCTTCGGCAAACCCCAAGGTACAGTAGCCCGTGTGCGCATCGGTCAACCAATCATGAGCGTCCGGTCCAGCGATCGTTTCAAGGCCGCAGTCATAGAGGCTCTCCGTCGTGCCAAATTCAAGTTCCCCGGTCGCCAAAAGATCTACGTCTCCAAAAAGTGGGGATTCACCAGATACGAACGTGACGAATACGAAAACCTTAGGGACGACGGTCGATTGGCTCACGATGGTTGCAATGTAAGGTACAGGCCGGAACACGGACCTTTGGCAGCCTGGAAGAAGGTGCAGGAAGAGATCCATGCTTCTTAGGTTATTCGTTTTTTTATGATGTGGATAAGATAAATTTATTTGAAATAAATTTATTTATATTTTATTGTTTTTTATTTTATTTCAAAAAACCCATTGTTATACCAATAAAAAATTATTTGTACTAATTACTCTTTAGCCAATGAATACCCTACAACGCTCTGTATAATTTCAAGCTCTGCTTATCAATTTACACAGAAATTTTTTAACACTGAATTGAGTGGCCCAGTGCCATCTTTGCCAAAGCCACAAATTTTAAAATTAGTTGATATTGAACATACCATCATAAAAATAACTAAATCTTTCAGTGCCAATCTATTTTAAACTATACAGGGTTAACATAATAGAGATAAGCAAATTTAGTTACAAAAAAAATCCAGTTCTCTTGTAATCAATTAAAAATTATTGGTGTACCACCACGGGATAACTAATAACTATACAATCTCTCTTGATTGGCCTTTAGTTTAAAAAAACCTTCATTTTATTATACAAAATAAAATAGTCCCACTCCAGTATAAAAATCGGCTTTATACCACTTTTTGATGACCAATAAATACTTTCCAAGCTCACTTGACAATATATCTGTTTGGTCACCTTCAGTTAAAAATGTTCTGAACCATGCTACCTATGAATGCCTAATTATCTGATCAAATATGGCATTAGGATTTTTACACCTACTTTTTTAACGCACTTGAGTCGAGCTCCAGCACTGGTGCGTCTGCAGCAAAATATTTCTATCTTCTACAAGGTAAGAATGAAATACATTTCTTTAGTATTATTGTTAATACAGCAGGCAGAAATGCCGATTAGCTGCTTTTAAAGTCTCTAAAATTAAATACATAATATCAGTTTTTATTTTTATCACAATATACCATATCGAAAAAATTGTCACAGAGTTTTTAAATTTGTTTTTGGTGTCTAATGTTACGACTTCCCATGTGAGCTTGTTCCACACACATACCACTCTGTCAGAAAATTTATTCAACAAAATTTCTGTCTGCACAGTTTTATTTTTATTTATTTACGGAAAATCTTTCGCAAAATAATTATCAGTAGATATTTTAAACCTAACCTAAAGTATCGCACAAAAATGAAAAAAAAAAAAAAAAACTTAAATATCACAAAAAACTTAGAGCTAAAGCTAACTCGATAAGTACGCCCTCAGCTGATTTTTAAACCTAAACCGACTAACTCCCAAAAGATCAGTGTGTCTGTTAATTTCATTTCCTTGCCTTTGAAATCTGGTTAAAGGACTGTTGAGTCCGTAGTTCGTATGATGGAAGCTAATTGAAAATAATGGTTTCTCTAATATTTATGTTGTTTAATCTAAAGTTTATTAGCTCCAACATATCCGGACAAGCTATATTCCCTTCCAGGAGGTTATAATAAAATAAAAGATCATTACTAATTAACGTTTTCTCAACTGACAATAAGTTTAAATGGTTATTAAGCTCCCTCTTAGAAAGATAAGGCATATGTAACCTCCACTGACAAGTTTTTAGAAACCTATTTTGAACTGCTTCTAAATTTAAACTATAAGTCCGGTAATGAGGTGACCAGACTGGTGAAGCATATAAGAGGATGCTGCGCACTAGTGTTAAGTAAAGGGTTCCGAATGTAGGCACAGAGAATTCCCTAGAGTTCCTGGTCACAATTCCCAATGTTTTCAGAGCTCTACTAATGATGGATCTCATGTGTGGGACAAATGTCAAAGAACTATTGAAGATCACACCTAGATCCTTGATTTCACTAACTTTCTCCAAAACAGTAGTATTGATATTATAAAGAAAATTTATAGGATTTTTTGATCTTGTGAAGGCGATTGAAAAACATTTACGTAGATTTAAAGACATGGCATTATTTAAAGCCCAATTAATAAAATAGTTTAAATATCCTGTAACTTCAAACAGTCAGGTAAGTTTAAGATTTCCATGAATAATTTCAGATCATCGGCGAATAGTAGGAACTTACAATATTTAAATCCTGAAGCCACATCGTTAATAAATATATTAAATAGTAATGGTCCCAAATGAGATCCCTGGGGGACACCTGAACTTACATTTATTGGAATCGAAGTAAAACTTTTAACTTTGACATATTGAACCCTGGATTAGGTTGTGTCCATGTAGATAATCGTTCTCGTTTCTTATGAAAACACTTTCAAGATCTATAGAGTAAAATCCTTGCAAGAGTAGTTTGTGTCCAGACAGCACACCAAATCCTTTGGATATCTACTGAACATCCCAATATCCACTGAATGTCCAGTTCATGGTAGATATCTATTTTATATCCATGAAATGTAATTTATAGACATGCAAATGTCCATAAATAATAGTAATTATATAGCAAATTATTAAAAAATTACGCCATTGTGGCTAATAGTACCGTTCAGATATTTAAAATTAATTTTTTTTAAGGTGTATTCAATATCCCATGAACATCCACTAAATATATCAAAGTCTAGGCGCGAACGCAAACCATCGTGGATATCCACTAGATGTTATTTGATTCTGCTTACTAAGTATAGATGGCGATACCACTATCGCATCTACTCATGCTCAACCCGCCGTAATTGAGTTCGATCGAAATGTGTGTCCTAATCACTCCATTAGAGACTGAAGTCAAGAATTTTCATTTATTGCTAAAGAGTCCTAATAAGGATGGCTTTCTCCTTAGTGGGCAAAATCAAAGGCAGAGTGTTGAAAATATTTTGAGTGTCGAAAAAATTTTTTATTTCTTTCGACGTTATTCAATAATCATTGGTTACTTATGAACCTCTACTAAAGATACCCATAAAATATTTTGCTGAATATCCGAGTATCTTCTATATCCTGGGATATAGACGGACATTTAGTTGGATATCCTTATTGGATATATTGAATATCCACGAAATATATTCTGTGGATATCTCTGATTTCTTGTATTTTCTGGAAGATACCCATTAGATATTTTGCTGAATATCTATTAGGATATCTTCTATATCCTGGATATAGACGGACATTTGGATATCCATATTAGATCCACGGAATATTTCTGATACCCTGTGGATATATTGGATATCCACAAAAGATATTCTGTGGATATCTCTGGGATTTGGTGTGTTGTCTGGTACCATTTTTGTCAATGAATATTCTACAAACTCATTTTTACCATCTGATTGATGGCCATCTCTAGTTAAAAAACCTCTCCAATTTTATTTATAACCGAATATATTAATTGTTAGTACCACTCCAGAATTCTTTACCATCTTATTCGCCACACCTTCTCCAACTCCAACCTGTCATTTATTCTCATACTTACCTATAATCACCTTTTTCTTGATATCGCTAAGATATAACTAAAACTCGTTCTTAGTCTTAAAAATATATTTCTATTGGAAAAAAAAAGACAATTCTTAAGGTAGAGTTAAAATTAGTACTAATTTTCAATGCCCAAATGCTCTTCAATCCATAAAAACGAATTGATAATGTTGTCAAATTCGTTTGGCACGCTTCCCAATGGATGGTTATCATCATACAAGTTCAACCTACAAAATCAAAAGGGAAATTCAACATTAACCCAAAAAAAGAATGTAAAAACTTACTTAGTTACGACTCCGTTCGCCTTTAATCGGTAATAATGTTCAAGGCCCTGATGCGAGGGCACTCTTAAGTCCTTTGATCCAATTTGGAGTAAAGTAGGTGCTTTAACCTTATGCGCATGCACGATTGGAGATACTTTTCGCATAAATGCCAAAATTTCATTGTCCACTTCACCTTTCTGGCTGTATTCTTTGCCAGCTTCGACATAGGTCCTAAAAAGATACATAACAATGTAAGTTTGACAGATCAACAGTAAATGTTAATGACATACCAGTCTGGAATGTCAGAAGAAACACTCATAGATGCGACATCAATGACAGGATTCCTAGCGATTACAGCCTTAAACTTATCTGGATACTGCCCGCTTAGGTGAGTTACCAAAAAGCCACCATGTGATCCACCAGCTAGAGCAAGTTGGTTGGGATTTAACCAAGGGTAGCGCGACAAAGCTTCATCGGTAGCTTGTATGCAGTCTTCAACGTCGGCACTGCCGATTTTTCCAGGTAAAAATTCCACGCTTTTTTGACCGCTGCCCAAGGAACCTCTGTAGTTGATTAATATTATAGCGAAACCTACAAATATCGAATTAGGAAAAGTGCATTTTAAAAAACAAGCGAGAGTTTATATTTAACAGTGCAGATGTATGTCACATGTAAGTCAATAAACTAATAAAAAGTAAGTAAGTAAATTCAACAAAATTACCCATACATATATCGTTTACCATTTAAGGTCAGTTTTACGACCGGGAATCCCAAGTTAAATGTTTGAAAAAAATTTCAAGGCAGGTATTTCTGTGGATAAATTGTACCTACCGTGTGACAGGTACATGGTTTCTTCTAAAAAGAGGTAGTTTCCAAAAACGGAGTGCGGTCCTCCGTGAGGCATAACGATCAGAGGAACTGTCTTATCTTTGCCACTTTTGGGGCCAATGTAAATAGCATTGAAATCGGCTGAAAACAAATTATTATGTAAGAAAATTATAAAATATTAGTCCAATGTCTTACTTACTGACATCACCTTGGGGTGCTTTTAAATCCAAATACTTAAACATACAGTTCTCTAGACCGGGTACTGGGTCACTGGTAGTTAAATTTTCCCACACTATTTCTGAGTCCTTGTCAGATTGCGGTAATTTTCCTATTACCACTTGGTCCGGTATAAAGAAATGCCTTTTGACAGCCAGAAGTGTGTCTTCACATACATCCACTACCCTTAAGCTGCCTTCTGTTGTGTCTAGTTGCTTTATTGAACCAGATTCTTAAATAGTACATTAATTATTAGTAAGTATATTTTGATGTTATTTTTGTTTTTACCTATATTGATAATGTAGGAATTTATTGTATATTTTTGATTGGTGTTGACAATTAAGTGATTTTGGCTTGCCCAAGGTCTTCTGATGAATCCTGTATTATATAATCCATAAAATAGCTTTCCCCCTTCTATTTCCTTTTCTTCATCAACAATATCTACTATGACTTTACTGGTACTCTATAAAATTATTAACTTTATAATTTAAATAGAAACTGAAGTCAAATTATTAACAAATTTAAATTAAAAATTAGTAAACTATAAAGTAAAAGTAATACAAAAACATTTTTTAGACTTACATTTTCATTTAAAGGTGTATCTGCCCTGACGAGCTGCATAGCAGATGCATGTGGGCCACCTGCTTTTCTCTGAAGCCATAAAACGTATTTCCCATTGGGTGAGAAAATCGGAGATTTGACAGCCACATTTTTAAAAGGCAAACTAACTAAAAATAACATTTTTTATTACTGTTTAGTGGTAATGGGTAAATTTTTTAGAATTGGCGCCCAACGTGGTGCCGGGATTTTGCTAGAAGATATCCTAAGAGCCACTTTACATTTTCGTGCCTGCAAGTAAAATTGTGGTACACGTCTACCCCAATTCTGGTAAAAAAAATTACTGGAACATTCATTTCTGGTATATGAAATGTGTTGTGTTATTTTATATAAAACTCAGTAGAATATGAAAGAATTATCAATGATTGTGTTTTATGTAATTATTAAATGGTACATTTTCCCTAATTTGGTTTGTATATCAGCAAACCTGTTTCCTTAACTAAGTTGATGTACCTGTTTAGGGACCTTTGGTGATTTTTTTGCAATGAATTGTGAAATGTAATACTCTATATTTGATGATATAATTTGTGTTCCACTAAACAATGACTAAGACAACAGATTTACAAAAATTGAGGTAGAATTATAAAAATAGAGGTTATAGGTGTTCATTAACATTTTTACTTTCCTATCTGTATATAGATAAGGAAAGTATAGGAATCATGATTTTTTTCGACCTCGAGTTTTCGACGGATTTTCACGTTTTGAGGTCCCCTGAATCCGTTTTGACTATTTTCGCGATGATGTCTGTGTGTGTGTGTGTCTGTATCCACCATAACTCATGAACCGATACAAATAAAAACACCAAACTTTAAACTTAAGCTTTATTCTGGCGTCCAATGAAATGATTAGATTTTGGACAGAGTCGGAACATCTGGGGGGTACTTTATAGGTGGTCATTTTTATATTTTATGGAATCTATCTGTTATTTACGTTTGGAGAAGAAAATTCTTCAAATAAAAGTTACTTACAATATTATTGTCAATATTTTTTGTTCTATACAAAATTTTCCTAAAATGGTCCGTATTCGAGAAATTTTACAAAATGTAAAAAAAATATTTTATAAAAATTGTTCAAATAAAAGTTGTTTATAATATAATTCTCTATAATTTTTATCCCATACAAAATTTCTCTAAAATGGACCGTATTCGAGATATTTGAGAAAATGTGTAAATTTCGAATTTTGAAGAAAACTCAAAAACGGATAAAGAAAAAAACATTAAATTTTAAACTTAAGTTTTATTTCGGCCTGACGTGAAATGATTAGATTTTGGACAAAGTCGGAACATCTGGGGGGGGGGGGGTACTTTATGGGAGGCCATTTTTATATTTTATGGAATATATCTGTTATTTATGTTTGGAGAAGAAAATTGTTCCAATAAAAGTTACTTCTAATATTATTATCTATAATTTTAGTTTTATGTCAAATTTTCCTGAAATGGTCCGTATTCGAGAAATTTGACAAAATGTGCAAAATTCTGATTTTTAAGAAAATTGTTGGACTAAAAGTTGTTACGATATTGATCTCTATAATTTTTGTTTATACATGATTTTTCTAAAATGGACCGTAATGGAAAAATTGGAGGAAAAGTGTTAAATTTAAATTTTTCAGAATTTTCGTTTTCAATGAATATCTATAGAAAAATGTTTCGAGGTAGATGTATGTGGAAAATGTATATATTTATCGTCTAAACATTTATAGAGGTGTTACAATAGGTTGTACAAAATAACTGGAAAAAGCCTATAATAACTAGATAGGAAAGTCATGTGTTGGACACAGATTTTTTTTAATTATTTTCCAGAAAGATTTAAAACAAATTTGGTTGCATACCATTAAACTTCTTTTTTGCAATCTGTAAACAATATTAAAAAAAAAACCATATAATATGTCAAATTCAATGAAAGAATTGTTTGTTTTTGTTAAAAGTTAACTGTGAAACACCAATTACATCACACCAGAGGCGGTTTGTGGCTTAGTCTGCGAGGAGGTTGGCACATCCTATATACTTAATATAAATATATATTTCTATTAGAATACAATGTAATATTTTTTTTTTTGTATTCTAATAGAAATATATATTTGTATTAAATGCCTTTCAAAAGTAGCCTCCGTAGTCTACTCTAGGCCACGAGTCGCCTCTGTATCACACTAATGTAGCCTATACCTACATCAATTTCTCTTATGCTCAATAGAGATTGCAGCAAATGGAAATTGGGATCTACAAATTGGCCCTAAAATTTTTTAAGACAAACAATAGCTAACATGTTTTTTGAAAAATTTAAATAGATATCCTCTTTGTTTAGTACTTGCTATATTTACTGGGAGATTGTTGCCATTTTTGGTTTAGTTTCCAGGTTTTACAATAACTTCTTCCTCGACTTAATAGAATAAAAATACAATTTATTCTTATTTTTTAAATACAAATTTTCATGTAAATATCTTTTTTCTTGCATTACGCATTATTTGTTTACTATAAAATATATAAATAATATGTTATGATGAATAAATTAAATTTAAAAGAATTGCTGCTACAACTGCATCAATTATTTTTAATATACCCTGGGATAACACAACAGACTGTAGACTTTAAAACAACATAAAAATCAATACTTACCAAATTTTCCATCAAAATTTAAATAAAAAATAGAGTTGGTTCTATTGGCACAATAAATTACCCCCAATTTCCTTGGTTCTAACTGATAAGCTACCCCTATAACATAAGAACCATCAGGGGAATACTTTGGTTGTGCTACAAACAAGTCTTCAGGGACACCTTTTAGAATATCCACTGTATCACTTTCAATGTTGTATTGAGCAATAATTGAGTTCTTTTTTCCCACCAACTGTTCTCCCCAATCTTGGATAAATAAGTGTTCTTCCCCCTAAGGAAGAAACAAAATTATAAAAATAATACAATTTAGGATAAAGAAGCCTTACTTTAGTTTTTTCTTCCCCATTGCCATCTCCTACTCCATTAGTACTTGGTGCCTTCCTTTTATAAAATGGTTCAGACTTTGGGTTTTTCTTCTCAGCAACATACAGTATCTTCTTTTCATCAGGTGACCACTCAAAGGACGAGAATTCAACTAGTTAACAAATATATTTAATGAACAGCAATATATTTTAAGAATGTTAGCGTTACCATCTGAATATACAGCTCCATGTATGTCCAATGTATTCAAATCAACAGATCTAATCAGATTATGCCCTTGCCACACTTCCAAAAACTGTTTACTATCAAAATCTCTAAGAACTGCGCGAAATTTTTCACTCTTTGATAATTTAGATATAATTCTACAACAAAATATAATAAGTACATCTTTATTGTCAGTTTAAAGACTTACTCAGTGCTAACTTCTAATGGCAAACTTTCGGCAACTTTCTTCAAATTTTTTGTAAAGAATTCTCTGGTAAACTCGGTGTTTTTCCCTTTTTCCAAATTTCTTTGACTCCAATTGGTACTTACGATACCATTTGATCTTATGTGACCACTCACTAGAGCAGGAATTTGAGATAAAGTCTTGTATGATTTCACAAATTTATCAGCCTTTGTAGACATTTTTGAACCTAAAATTTAAGGGAATTCACTTAAATCAATTATAAAAAATTATTGGTTGAAAATATGCTAAATAATCAAAATAAACAATAAATCTAAAAAGTGAGGTTCTGGGAACTTTGACACGTTTCCCTACATAACTACCAGTCCGGGTGCTGATCCTAAACGAAGAAACATAATGGAGACAGCGTTGTCAATTTATAGTAAAGTCTTCAAATACATAGAAATATATCAATAAGCTAATAAACAAATTAAATATTTTTTTTTTTTTTAAATTAATCCAATAGCATTTATTTTTAAAACGAAACTCCATTGCACAATCCATGCTTTTTTCGAATATGTTGATATATAAAATGAAAAAAATAACAAAAACTGGATGAAGTGTCTTGTTCAAATATATCTGGTTTACATTTGTCAACATTATAAAGCTATTAAAATGTTCGGTGCTCCCACTAGGTAGCTGTCTAGACCTAATATCATGTGGTGATCGGTTTTTAGATTTTAATGTTGGTAAAAAAGTATTATGACAAACGTCAATTCTAATTTAGGGATTTTCGCAATATTGGCAGTTCTGATTCGCGAACCAAAAAGAAATGTCGTCATGATATTACACATGTCGATAATTTCGCGTATTAACATATTATTTCCAATAAAAAACTATCGTATAAATGAATTCGTATGTACATTTTAACCAACAAAGTGTGAAATAAAGTCCAATTATACGTTTATGTGAATATATAGTGGCCATTTAAAAACATTGTTACACCCCTGAGACTCTAGCAAAGGTCGAATGCAAAGATTGATTTTTATTAGTTGAAACCTTAAGAAAAGCAGTTACTGACAATGTATAACAAACTAGAAGGTATCAGATGAGGATTATACGATTTAAGTAAGTACAAAGTGGTTTTTGATTTGGCGAAAAGCCAGCAAATATCACACCCACTTATTTAGTTTTGAACACCTGCTAAAAATTCAATTACCAATTTAATGTGATTTTTGCATTGTTTATGTAAATATATTTAAACTATGACCTCAGACTTTTCAAACTTTCAATTACATCTCGCCGATTAATCGCGTAAACACCAATTTTATGGCTTATTAGATCACTGAGAGGCTTCCTGTTTTGGTATATTCAGTATTTATTAAATAATGTTAGTAGATGATTAATTGGTTTTAGAATTAATCCAAATAGCAAGGAATTAAATAGGATCTCAAATGCAGTGCTAAGAATGTGTAGACAATAATTATTGTATATATGTATATTTTAGTTTTAATTTTTTAAATGAATAGGTATAACTAGGACATACAAACTTGTTGACAATCATGAAAATGGATTAATTGTTCATTCATTTAACCATTATTGATAAAATATTAAAAAATGATACATATGTACATATTTAAAAAAATATTTAAGTAAATTAAATAGACATTGTTTAAGTTAATACATTTATAATGACTTACTCAATTAACAAATTCTGTTGTTTTCCCAATGGTTTTTCTTTTTCCCTGTTAAAATAGTTGAGGAGACAAGAATTTAGAACATTCAGGTTTTTATACCAATTTAAAATAGACTTAGTTATTTTTAAAACGAGTAGTTAATGATGTTTTTTTTTGTATCAATTGTATACATATTGTAGACATTAGCGTTTGTACGAGTCAATTGATAGGACAGATTTTCAATGTAGTTATTTTTAAATTATTTAAATATATTTTGCAGTATTTTTACTTGTTTTATTTTACATTTAATTGCTTCTTTGGGTGTTTGTTATAGGCAGCTTAAAGGTATTTTATTTTTTGTTTATTGCTTTTCTTTGTGATGTTTTTCTTTGTTTATAAATGTTAGGTGAGTAATAATAATTTGTTTACCTATATTATTTATAGACTTGCAATCAATTAATGCCATTTGGCTAAATATCTAGTTTGAGCTCTTTTCGATTACACAAAAACTAAGCATAGGTATCAGTACTTGTAGGTATTGCCTGTGGTAATGCTATTGTAAACAAAAAACCTGAATTCCATAACTTGTTCAAATAAATAATAAGGACACAAATATTTTTTTTAAATAGAAATATGCCATTTTTTCAATTAATTTTAACAATTTTACGGGAAAGGGAGTGAATGGGGGTGCCTAGGTGAGTAAAACAACATCAATAGTATATAAAATATTATAAAAATTATTAGAAATGAGTTGCTGTACTTTTGATACTAAATAATTGAATATTAAACTTTTTGTGCGACGTGGCAACAGTGTAAGATGTAAAAGTAGCATTTCCGAGCTTTGATATGAGACAATTTGTGAAATATTTTTTTCTCAAAAAAATTAACTGTCATTATTAATTTGTACAAGATATGGAATTAAGATTTTTTTATTTACAATAGTGATACCTACAAGTAAGTATGTATGCTTAGTTTTTTCATAAGTGAAAATAGCTCAAACTCGAGCTCAAACTAGACAATGACCGTCTTTTAAATCCTGTTATTTTTGTTATGATTTTAAGTTTTTTTCCGAGTTTTTTTCAGTACATAAGATATTTTGATTGATGATCTGTGGTGTGTTTTTGGATTAGATGTTTGAAATAACTACTTAATGTTATTGTTTTATTTTATTTTTGTCATAAAAACTACGTTAAATATGTAGGTAAACATATCTATTTACCCTGAAAAAGGAGATTTGTTCTAGCTAGAATCAATTCTAGTTTTTTTTTATTTTAATCACCCTGTATATGATATGTCAGGTGTAAATAAGTACAGTATAATATGTTGAAAGAATAACTTTTGTAGAACTAAAAATAATTAAGTTTTCCAGACTCTTTAAGAGTGTCAAGACATTTCACAAGGAGAGACATTTAAAATTTTCAAAATAAATCACAATATAAAAAATTATTTTAAATAAAAACAGAACATGTAAGTACCTACCTAATAAAAAATTGATAAACAAAGAAACTAGAACTCCAGATAACTTTATAAAAATAGTAAAACAAATTTTTATTAAATCCAAAATATACAAGATTTTGTACAGATTCATTCTCTTATAGGTAAACAAATTGAAATTAACATTTACAATCAAACATTGAGAAAAAGTATAACTTAAATTAAAATTAAAAAAATGTTCCTTGAAATTTATGCTAAAGAATATAGCAGAGCTCCTAGGAACTTTGAATTAAAATCTATGCCATGCTTTTAGGCTATTTTAAGGCTATTTTTATGCTTACCAGGATTCAAAAAATTTATGCTCCTGGTTTTTTTGCAAAAAAACAAATTTCAAAAATCACCTTTATAAAGTTTTTTTCTAAATACATCATCGTATTTTCAGGCTCTTGAAATATAAAAATTTTTAAAAAAAAAAAAAAAAAAGTATTAAAAAATAGTGATGGGCAATCCAGATCTTTTTAAAGATCTGGGTTAACGACTCTGGCTCAGTTGAAAGATCCGGATCAGTGAGCCAGATCTCAGTTCAGTTGAATCTTTAAATATTGTATCATCAGCCTCATCTGTTTACATAATTTATAGTAACATAAAATATGTTCCTAGCTGAAAATTAACTAGGTAACTTAAACCTGTATTGATATTTAAAATGTTTTTTTACATACTGCATGGAGTTCCACAGGGCTCTGTTCGCGGACCCTTATTTTTTATCATTTACTTTAATGATTTGTCAATTAATCTAAGTAATATCATACAGGTATATTATGCTGATGATTCAACATATATTGCTACAGATAAAAATAAATCTGATACAATAGAAAGGCTAAATGAAGCAGAAGTTATGTCAAATAATTGGTTTGGTAGCAATGGTCTTACATTAAATGAAGCAAAAACTCAGCAAATGTAATTTTCTATCATTGCTAAAAGTAAGGAACATATTTAGATCCGAAACTAGATTTTAAATATCACATTCAAAGTATATTTAAAAATTGTCTACTTTTCATTATTTCATAGCATTATGACATATGGGGTTATACTTTGGGAAAATAAAAGCAACCAACTTAGGGTATTTATTGCACAAAAATAATTAGTACCTAAGTATCATGAGCTACAATAGTCACTGCCAACCTATTTTTAAACAGTTGGGTATTTTACCACTACCATGTTGTTTTATTTTAAAGTGTCTTTTATACATGAAAATACAAATTGGTAATAATGTTATAAGACAGAGCTCTATACATTCTTATTGCACCAGAGGAATTTATGATATATCTTTACCCAATTACAGATTAACCAAACTTAATGATTCTTATAGATATATCAGCATTAAACTGTACAATTCCCTACCTCAAGCTTATAAAAACTCATCTATTAATTTATTTAAAACTAGCTGTTGCCCGCGGTTTTGCTCGCGACTTTGCTCGCATGTAGTCGTGTTATTAATATAAAAAAATACATGACTTCCTTTTTTATTAATTTTTATTATTTTTATTGATTTTCATTCATTTTTATTCATTTTTATTCATTTTTATTCATTTTTATTCATTTTTATTCATTTTTATTCATTTTTATTCATTTTTATTCATTTTTATACATTTTTATTCATTTTTTATTCACTTTTATTAATTTTTATTAGTTTTTTTAATATTAATTTTTTAAATTTTATTAATTTTTAATTTTTTTTTAATTATAGTTTATTTTTATGATACTGACATACAAAAATCTAAAAACCACAGAGCACGTCATTATTTATTTATGCTACAATTATAATTTTCAAGTTCCGCCCTTCAAAAAATTTATACTTTTATACAAATTTTCACCCCCGTTTTCCCCCCTTAAAATGTGAAAATCCAAAACCATGAAACACATCATTTTTGATTTTTAATCAGTAGCTGTAATTCCAATTTTTATGTTTCAAACTTTAAATAACAAAAAATATATACATACTATTAAACAAATTTTCACCCCCATTTCCCCTCTTAAAATATTAAAATGCAAAAACCCTGAAACACTTCATTATTTATTTATGATGAGAACCTACAATTCCAATTTTCAAGTTCCCACCTTTAAAAAAAATCGATATTTCCAAATAAACTTTCACCCCCCGTTTCCCCCCCCCCCTTAAATTTGAAAATCAAAAAACTTTAAAACTCGTCATTAATAATTTGTACTCATTAGCTGCAATGCCAATTTTCATGTTACTAACTTCAAATAGAACAAAAAAATCGA